TCTCGCACTCTCTCGGAAAAGACAACCTCAGCGTTCGAAACAACGTGAACAAAAAACGCCGACAGAAAAGTATCATTTTCTCTCTTGTGTCTCTGCTGTTGCTGTCGGCAGCGGCTACGGCGGCAGAAAACTCGAAGACTACGCGATGCCAACGCGTGCTTTCACAAGTGGCAAAACCGTCGCAAGGTTTATTACCTTGCACTTGCATCCTCAAGAATGAGGGAAGCACGGTGTTTTTTATTCAAGTCATTCCGTGCGTGCCACGCAAAAGTTTCCCCTCCTCCATCCGGTCGAGGACCATTGACAGATACCTGTCCAGGCTCAGACACGTCGTCGCGCCTAACCGCGGCGCCTGACGCTGTGGCAAAGTTCAACTTTAAAAAAATACCGCCCGACCGGCCGACAGCCCGACTAACCGAGCCGTCGTCTGTCCGATCGCCCATCCCACCGGTCTTTTCGCCCGTCAGCCCGTCCGCCTGTCGGTAGGTCGATCGATCGCTTGGCTGGTAATTCTGGGTACAAAAAAGCAAAAAAAAACTGACGCCCCAGTCAGTGTCATCGGCCTTGACCAAATAGGAAGGCAGGCGAAGGGGCGGCAGCGGTGTTATGTGCCAGCCGAGCCAGTTAGCTAAAGAGAGACGATAGTAAAGTAGGAAAGAGTAGCGGTTACGCGAAACCGGGTGAGCACTCGACCCGGTGACCAATGCTTGCCTGCGTAGGGGCGGTCGTAGGCATGCACGCACGCACAGCGAGTCACAGAAGCAGTTGGCCGGCCAGTCGACCAGCTAATGTTATATAGCTGAAAACTGAACCTCCTGTAACCGTTAATCAGCGTATTTATTTATATTGCTTTTCTCGCCGACGACAAAAAGCGGCCTACATTGTCCTCATTTCAATGTTTGCCGAATCTTTACGATTTTTTCCCACCTACCGCATTTTGGCCGGTACGAATTATTATCCATGCGCATTTTTAAGAGACAGCCAAGCAACTGACAACAAATTATGCGCAAAATATTGGGAAACATGTCTGCAAAAAACGATGGCATCTGTGCGAAAGTGTAAAACCTTGCGCAAACTGGTTTCTTCAAGTCAAATATTTGTTTTCTATTTTAATATGAGCAAGAAATAGATTGGCCGACTGGTCGCCGTCGGGCGGTTGCCGGCGTTCGGCTCGCGTGGCATACGGTAAAAAGCCAGAAATGTGCGACGACCGAGGAGGAACGGCGAGGCGAGGGAGGGAGCATAGGCCAAACGACGTGAGAGAACGCAGAAAACGAGAAAGAACGAACGAAGGACGACGCACAAATCTCTTTCTGCTGCCTGGTCGTGCGCTTTTTCGCCCTCATGCTCTAAGCCGAGTGCGTAAAAACTCGGGTTTGTATTATTCAAAAACATTTCATGAATGCTTAACTTGCCCCGGCACCAAGGAGCTTTTTTTCTGCCCAGGAATTACAGATATGTCATATTTGCGAATCACTATTTACGAAGGCTGCCAGCGGGGAAAGACACTGTCGCAGCAAGGTCCGCTCGCTTGTCTCCCGTCACTCGACGCCACTTTGTGTTCACTGCGTATTCCGAACATCGGCCGGTCAAGTCGCTCAAGGGGGACGTCGTCGTTTGGCGACGGATATGCATGCGCGTATCGCTTCCATTGCAGCCACGGCACTACCACCGCCTCCGTCAACATCAACGCTGCAGCAAAAAGTACGTTTCCCAGTTTTATGGTCGAGCAACAACAGTCGGGGGGAATTCTCTGCGACGACGAAACTGCTTCACAGATAAACGGACGATACTATTTTTAATCCCTCCTAAGCCAGCCGAAGATTTAGTACAACCTGCTGAAAGAAAGTGCCGTTCCTCTTCTAATGAGCTTCTAAGACTAGCTGTTTTTTGCTTTTGAATTAATGACCGTTTCGCCAGAGAATTGCAGGCAATCATGTGTTATGCAGTAAATGTTCATAGACTTTGCGGAGGTGAAGTAACGTCGTATCCCACAGTTTCTAAGATCGGTCTGCTTGGCAACGTGTCTTGGAGTGACGAGAACGCCCTCATTTAGCTTTCGTCAAACAACTTACTTTACGAAGGGCCGTAAATAGTTGTCCTATTACTGTACACGGAAAATGCTTATTTCTTTGGTCGAAAAATTTGCTCATGGAACACTGTTGTCGTTATGCATATTCCTAAAACTTTTATCCCGTGAAAGCCTGTAATGTGACGTTTATAAGGGAAATATTGAGAACACATACTATAATACGCGAGAAATCTAATTCGTTGTTTCAAGTGATTTCAGTCAGTCATCCGGTCGTCTGTACCGAAACTTGCCTTTACTGTAGCTGCGAGTTTGTAGTCCAGTGGGTACAAGACCAGATAGACAGTCAGTAGGTTAAAGCGCATTGAGCAGCGTCGGAAGTGCTTCGGTGATAAATCTGAAGGTAAAAGGGTATTTTTCAATGCTGTCATATAATGTCCCTTCAAGATGGATTAATCACACTACGAAAATTCACGATTATGGAATTCGGGATTGTGACATTTATGGAGTGAACCGTTTGAGGACCTGACGATGTAAAGGGGTATGTTATTTTTAATATAAGACGTGGTCTAAGTTTATTGTGCTGATAAGTGTATCTTAAGCTTGCGACGGTGTTTCGTCTGGCGTCCGGAAAGTCTAGATCGTTTCTGCCTCCTCAGCATGCACTTGATCACTGTAGACTTGGCCATGCTTGAAATATCTAAAACAAACATCTTCCTATTATCGTTGTCTCAACGTCTGCTACAGTGATCGATTCAATGCTCTGGCTGGCCTATTTGATAGTGTGTGACAGACTTAGTATAACCGTAAGCAGTTGAAGCTGTGAGTGCACATCGCTGTCAGACCTGCATCTGCATCGGAGGTGACCTTTCTCGACATATTTATGTCAGCTGTTCTTCAAGTGAAAATGAAATGACCATATAGACTGCCAACCGTTTCAATTATAGAAAAATTTTACGCCTGGTAAAATCTTTCATCCATTTATTTCCACGTTCCGGCAGAGGGCTGTTCATCAACAACTATACTATTATTTATGAAAACGAATAGTCCTGATGATCAGTTCCTGAACAAAAGCAGTGAACTGACTGTGATCGATTTGAATTCCAACTAACTATGTAATGCAAAAGAATTCTTGTAGCATGACAAAGATAAATACCGTTATGTCCTATAAGCACGCCTAATGGTACACACCATGCCTTAAGTGTGTCTGGCGTGAAATTCCGCATGAATAAACATTAGCCAACTGGCATGGTAGATGACAGTATATCTTCACCACTGAACGTTATGACAGAAAAATTTCATCATTTTAAACTGCGAAATCGGTTCACGTACGGAATTATGCAAGTATTTTTTCTACATCTTGCAGGACGGCAGGAAAAGTTACGTTAAAGATTCGATGAAACATGTTTATTCACTATTATGTAACTGTGTAAAACAATAGGTTCCATCGGTAGAGAGACCATGCGTTCAGACTCAAAAGCTTATAAGCAAAATTTTTCTTGCTGCTTGGGTTACATCTTCGACTGGTCTTTCATGATGCAAGGAGCCGACATACCACAACTCGTATTATGGCTGGCGGATTTCATTCAAAAATATATTCACTGTCCATCGAATTAGTGGTTATTTGCCACTGGTAAACCGAAGTAAATTTGTCGACGTCATTCGATTCGCTTCAAATTTCTCTCTTATTGAAATTTATGGGTGTGCGTGAGTGCCGCCACAGGAAGGGACACTTAAATAAGTGCATAGAAATTATGTTTGTAGTTATGTGAGTTATATGAGCTTTCATATGTATATATGAGCAGTGATCGCTGGTACGCATTTCTGGAAGAACTCAAGTAAGGCTTATTTTATGAATGTCGAAAGATTAATGTTAACGCGACACAAATCAAGCAGTTGCTGACTGAGTTTCTTATTCGATTTCATCAACAGGCATGGAAAACGACTGCAGAACAGTTGTAATGTTTTATTCTCTTTATTAAAATGTGTTACACAATGCTACGCAATGTTATTAAAAATGCTTTACACACTTCGTAAAAGCTTTTGGGTCATCGCTGCTTAGACTCCAGTCTTGTGATTTTCATTGTTTCTCAAGCACGTATTAACATATCAAAGAAATTAATTAATTCACCCTGAAAAGGCTTGAATGACCAACTAATGCTTGAGTTGCATTCTAAGCGTTAGAGTTGCTGCGGGTTTTGAGTGGAATTTTCAACAAATTCAAATGCGTGGTCGTATTCGACAAGTGCTGAATCACAGCGCAAAGCACACATCCAAGTTCGGGATAAGCTCTCCTTTATTCATTGATGAAAATCATTGCTTTGTTCGATTTGTCAACAACTTGGCGAAATTAACTTCCGAAATATAAGCGTTTGTTTTCTCTCAATAAAACAGTCCATCATACTCACTGCTAATCTCTCTCCAAAAACTAATTCGAATTAGTGGCGGATCATGACATGAAATTTTGCTAAAATTATGGCTGAAATGGGCTTCATAGCATTTTGAGAATTCATAAATTTTTCACAATAATTTCACCTATACATAATGCAATAATACCGAATAAGTCCATTTCTGCGTCCACCAACGCATTTCATCAAGACAATTGAACCATTTCATTTTATCTATGAAGTTCTGCAGCAGTCATGCTGTTTTTCAACATTATGTAGTTAAGGGCTATAGGTTGTGAGTCCCAAATGAATTATGGTGTTGACTTTTAATCATCTGATGTCACGCAGCCTGGGCACTACCTGAGTGCCTATGGCTGTTAATGGATTAATTTACACTAATTTTGCGGTTTATTAGATTGCTCTTTTAATCCTGCTTTTTAACTTGATTACTTTTATTAAAAGTAACTTAAACTGGCATTCGACCTAGACCCCGCCTCTATTCCAATCATGCATTGTTTTTCTCTGTTCTGGAACAAATGTCGATAATGCATTTTTCTTCAAAAACAAGTTTATTAATAATTCCGACTTCAAATGGTGTTTATTCAATGTTTCATAAAAATTTAGTCTAGCGGCGAATTCGCATCTCGTCCTTACGACCCACCATGCTTCTTAGAACAGTGTAAATCAAATCACACTTTTCGATTTTTCTTTCAGTTTATGCTTTTCTATTACTTGCATTCCAACGTCGCTTTTCATTTCGCGTATACCGCATCTCTCTTACCATCTCAATCTTAATTCTGGAGGTGGTACTCTTACTATATTTCACAGTATTGGTGTTGTTGCATGGCGTGACAGTAACAGTTTCCATAATAGAAAATTTCCGTTTGTGATAGCCGCTGCATTCTTCGTTCAACATTTTTACTATAAGGTAACGATAAACACATCGTGAAGGAACAATCCGTCTCCATGCCCAAATTTGCTTCTAGACTGTTCATGCATATTCGCCTGATCTGCTGGTCAAGCCAGCAATGTGTCGTTTTCCACATAGGGTCTTCGCGGTCTGCTGTGTAAGATTTATTATTCAAAGCAAGCTGTTTAACAGGCTCCATCATTTTCCCCAGATTTCTAATCTACTGAGGATACATGTGACTGGAGGAGAAATAGGCATTCGTCATGTCATGTCTGCATTACTGTCACTATTAACCGTCACTATGCATTGAAGCAAACGCCTCTATGTTTCTTCCAACATCGTTCCCGGTCTTTCGTTAAAACGAATGTCCTTACGTCGTATAAACCACTGGCTTGACTGAGGCACGGTACCGACCGATTGTGTGGAAGGGGATAATTTTTTTTTACGATTTCACGTATTTGACAGGCTTTAATGGGCGTAAGTGCGATGTTACAGTGACAGTATTTTGATCTGCCGTATATTGTAATTCTTAAGGCCCGCAGAAAATTCTTATTTCTGTTGCAGGAAAATGTTTCCTTCTTCTCACTGTCCAGCTGCAGACTTTTATTAGATTACCAATTGAACAACAGCCTTTATCGTTTCCTCTGTTAATGCAAGAATCTTTTGCTATCGCGTCATATTCTGAACAGTTCCTCCTTTCAGAAATATGAAACATACAACACAAAGTTAAGAAAGATGGATCACCATTATATCAGATAGCTGTTAGATCAGCGAAAGAAACTTAGAATGACCAGGCAACATGCTTCCAAACATCCATAATCCATATTTTCTAGTCTATCTTTGTTCAATGCTATGATTAAGTGCTAGTGATTTTATTCCTTCATAAATCTGTTCAGTGATTTATTTGACTTGCCATTCAGCAATGTTTTGACAATATTACCTGCTCATTTCCACTGGAAGACCAAATCGTGATCATTTTCTTCACGCTGGCTTTCTATCAGTTTTCCTTCTTCTGTTGCTGCGCTCAATAAATTCTGTGCTTCCATTTCCGATCTGGTTGTGGATGTCAATCAGAAAGATTAAGAACGCATTTTCACTCAGGCTGCAGGTTCCTACATTTTTTTATCTCTTATCAGTGCTCAGACTTCAGTTTTACATGAGTACTGAATTTCACAGACATCTGATGAACTATTCATAAGATGTCTCGAAAATAATTAACTCCGAAGAGTTTTCAAAAATGACAGAAAGAGATTATGTCGCGATTAAATATCGTACTGTCTCTGTTTAAAATATTGTAACGATCTAATTGTAAAATGCAAATGTGCTGAATTATGTGGCAAAGTCTCTCTTACGACATTTCA